TTTTTTTTTTGGAAAAGAGTAAAATCGGCCAACTTCCCCCAAACTGTGTTCCGGGGGGGTCGTTAGGAGGGGCAGGGGGGCACGGGGGCCCCCGCCACGGCGCCGTGCCGCAGGTCGATGGGGTGGGGGGGGATCCCAGCGGATTCCAGCGCCAGTCCCCGCACGCAGCCCGAGATTCCGGAGCTGAACTTGCCCGCGGTGAGGGCGTGGGGGTCGGGGGCTCCGCCTGGGGGGACACGGGGGGCACGTTTGGGGGGGCACACCCTGGGCTGGGCCATGCACTGGCCCGAGGCACCTGCCCTCGGTCAGCCCGTGGCCCAGCAGTGGCCTTATCCCGTGTCCCATCCTTGTGTCCCCTGTGTCCCACTCCGTGTCCACCCCATGGCCCACTCTGTGTCCATTCCATGTCTTATCTATGTCCCACCCAGTGTCATCAGGCATCCCATGTCCCACACAGTGTCCCACCCCATATTCATCCCATGTCCCACCCTGTGTCTCACCCCATGTCCATCCCACGTTCCATTCCATGTCCATCCCATTTCCCACCCCCTATCTGTGCCCTGCCCCATGGCCATCTCCCGTCCCAACCCATGTCCCACTCATTGTCCATCCCACGTCCACCCCATGTCCATTCCATCTCCTGTCCCCTGTCCCATCCCATGCCCCCCGCCATATCCATTCCACGTCCATCCCATCTCCACCCCACGAATATCTCATGTCCCTTTTATGTTCTACTTGGTGTCCCAGCCTATTTCCCATCCCATGTCCACCCCATGTCCCACTGCCCCTCCCACGTCCCCCCACGTGTCCCACATACCCACGTAGACGTCGCCCTCTGTGTTGGCCATGATGTTGGATCCGGGGGATTCCCCACTCACCGGCTCCTCCCCGTCCACCTGGAGCTGCCCACGCCGGCCCTCCCTGCGGGGCACAGTCAGCACCCACACCCTGACCCCCACCCCGACCCCCGCCCAGCCCCTCCCGACCCCACCCACCTGGTCACCGTCACCCGGTGCCACTCGCCATCGTTGATGGGATCCTCAGAGACGATGGTGGCCTCGCCACTGCCCAGCTGGTAACTGTGGGGGGGCGTGGGGTCAGTCTGGGGGGGCCTCTCGGGGGGCACAGGTACCCCGGTCACCCTGGGGCCGCGCTCACCTGAACACCAGGTGCCCGTCCTTCAACCCCAGTCCCAGGAAATCTTTGGCTTTGCCGCCCTCGCCGGGCTCCTGCAGGCACAGGGAGGGCTGAGCAGGCTGGGGGCACCCCGACCCCCCTGCCCTGAGGGGGCTGAGACCCCCAGAGCCCGCCCTGGCCCCCCGAGCTCACCATGCCGTGCCACAGCAGCAGCCCGTGGGCGCTGAGCGTCCGCAGCTCCAGCTCGATGGTCTCGGGCGCCTCGGGGGGGCTGCGAGGGGAGGGGATGGTGGGGGGGACAGCACCCAAAAAATGGGGTTATGCCGTGGGAAGGGGGGGGTGCAGCACCCAAAAAAAAGGGGGGCCATGGGTGGGAGGTGCAGGGGAGTGCATCCCCGGTGTCACTCACCCACGGGGGAAGAGGTGCCCGGGAAGAGCCAGGTAGGATCCGTCCTGGAACGTGGCACTGAACTGTCCTGGGGCATCTGGGGGGGGACATGAGGGGTCAGGGGGGCGGGGGAGGTGGGGTGAGGAGGGCATCCCACCCAGCCTTTGGGTGGAAAATGGGGAAGATGGGAGCAGGGACCCACCGCCGCCCCCGCTGCCCTCGTGCCAGTCGTGTTCCAGCTCTGCCAGCGCCGAACCTGCAGGAGAGAGGGGAGATGGGGGACATGTGTGCCCTCCATGTCCCCAGTGTCCCACCCACATCTCCAAGTGTCCTCAAGTACCCCCCTCCTGTGTCCCCAGGTGTCCCCAAGTGCCCTCCCAGTGTCTCCAGGTGTTCCCCCATCTCCCCAGGTGTCTCCAAGTGTCCCAGATATCCCCAAATATTCCCCAGGAGTGTATCTATCCCTCATAGTGTCCCCAGGTGCCCTCCCCATGTCCCCAGGTGTCCCCCCATCTCCCCAGGTATCCCCAAGTGTTCCCCATGTGTGTCTCCTCTGCTGTGTCCCCAAGTGTCCTCCCCATGTCCCCAGGTGTCTCCAAATGCCCTCAGGTGTCCCCAGGTGTGTCCCCCCCAATGTCCCCAGGTGGCTTCAAGTCCCTAAGTACGCCAAAGGATTCCCCAAGTGTGTGTCCCTGCCCTGTCCCCAGTGTCCCCCTGTGTCCCCAGATGTCCCCAAGGGTCTCCAGGTGTTCCTACGTGTCCCCAGCTGTCCCCCTCACCATGTCCCCAGATGTCCCCCTGTGTCCCCAAGTACCCCCCTCCTGTGTCCCTGTCCCTGTGTCTTTTCACATCCCCTTGTGTCCCCCCATGTCCCCAGGTGACCTGACCCCTCTCTGTGTCCCCAGGTGTTCCCCTGACCCCTCCCACCCCCGTCCCCGTGTCCCTTCGCGGTGCTGGCAGTGTCCCCAGGTGTTCCCCGGTGCCCTCCCTGTGCCCCCCCGTCCCCGTGTCCCCTCACGGTGCTGGCAGCGGGCCCCGCCGTGCCCGGGGGGGCAGTGGCAGGAGCCGTGGGCGCAGGTGCCGCCGTGCAGGCAGGGCCGGGAGGGCCCGCAGGCCTCGGCCTCCTCCTCCTCCTCCTCCTGCTCACAGCGCAGGCCTGGGGACAGCAGGGACAATGGGGACACCGTGACATAGTGGCAGGGGCATGCAGAGTGCACACAGGCACACACGCGTGTGCACCACCCACAGAGCACACCCCACACACGGCACGTGCAGTGCACATACGTGTACAAACACCCCCAGAGCCCCCCCCCCGGCTCTCACCGCGTGTCCCCGGCCGACACGGTGCTCGCTGCCCGCAGGGCCGGACCCCCCGGCTGCGCAGGAACCGCTCCCGCAGGTCCAAACGCTTCCCGTTGATCGACACCTGGGGGGACACCACACGGTCACCTCAAAGAGGGGACATCACACACGGTCACCTCACAACGGGGACATCACGCACAGTCACCTCCCTGCCAGTGGGGGCACCTCCCAGCGCAGGACTCCTCCCAAACAAGGGGGTTACCTCCCCAGTGAGGGGTCACCTCCCAGGGGGACACCGAGGGGACACCCATAGTGTCATCTCTCCACCAAGGGGTCACCTCCCCAACAATGAGACACCATCAAGGGGACACCAAGGGGGTCACCTCTCCACCAATGGCATCACTTCCCCAATTGGGGACACCAGTGGGGTCACCTCACCACCAGCAGGGTCACCTCCCAACCAAAGGGGACACCAACAGGGTCATCTCCCAACCAACGGGGTCACCTCCCCAGTGAGGTGACACCAATGGTGTCACCTTCTCAATGAGGGGACACCAAGAGGAGTCTCCTCCCCAGTGAGGTGACACCAAGGGGGAGGTCACATCCCCACCAAAGGGACCCCAAGGCGGGGCTCAGATCTTCACCAAGGGGACACCAAGGAGAGGATCATCTCCCTGCCAAGAGGACACCAAGGGCGGTCACCCCTCTGCTGAGGGGACACCAAGGGGAGGGGTCACCTCCCTGATGAGGGGACACCAAGAGGGGCTCAACCCTCCACTAAAGGGTCACCTCCCTGCCGAGGGGACACCTACAAGGGGACACCAAGGGGGTCTCCCCCCAGTGAGAGGACATCAAGGCGGGTCACCCCCCCAGTGAAGGGACACCAAGGGGGGGGTCAGGTCCCCACCAAGGGGACACCAAGGGTGTTTTCCCCCAGCGAGGGGACACGTGGGGGTCTCACCTCTCCGATGCAGCCGCGGAAGGAGGCGTTGGTGGGGGGCCGCAGCGGGGGCTCGGTGCCCCCCAGGTACAGGGGGCTGCGCAGGTTCAGGCCCTGGCTCTTGCCGGGCGAGGAGCGTTTCACGGGGGCCGCATCGTCCACCACGAGGGTCCCGTCCTTGTTCAGCCGCTCGGCCATCACCCAGTGCCACTGTCCCAGCGCCACCGGGCCCGCGCTCCGCAGCACCGCCGGGCCTGGGGGTGGGATGGGGGGGTCATGGGGGGCACTGGCGCCGCCTGGGGACCCTAATCCCTAGGGGTGTGGTGCCAGGGGACCCCAGTGACACCCACGGTACTTCAGGGATGCCAAGGGGACCTCAAGAATGCCCAGGAGACCCCAATGGTGCCAGAAGATCCCAGTGATACTTGGGGACCCCAGTGATGTCAAGGGACCCTTGGTGACAACAGAGGACCCCACTGATGACCAGGGACCCTGAGAGCACCCGGGGCCCCAAAGACACCAAGGGACCCCAGTGGTGCCGGGGGATCCCCAGGATGCTTGAGGACTCCAAGGGACCCCAGTGACACCACTGCAGGTCCCCTGTGACACCAATGAACCCTGGTAACGCCGTGTCACCCCCTACCCCCGGAGGTGCCCGGTGCCCTCCCCCCGCAGCGCCCTTGTCCCCAAGCCACCCACCTGAGCCCAGCTCGTAGCGGAACTCGAGGTGACCCCCGACCATGGCCAAGGCCACGAAGTCCTCGACGGGGGCGGCTTTGCCGGCGCTGAAGAGCAGGAGCCCGTCGGGCGCCAGCGGCAGGAACTCGGCCTCCACGCGCAGCTCGTGGTGCACGTTGGTGAGGGGCGGGTACGACACGAAGGCTCCGTCCTCCTCGAAGGACGGCACATCCACCGCCTCCCCTGCGCACCCGAGCCAGGGCTGGGACCCCACCTCCACCCCCACAGGGGACCCAACACCTCCATCCCCACAGGGGACCCAACACCTCCATCCCCACAGGGGGAACCCAACCTGCATCCTCATGGTGGAACCCCATCGCTCATCCCCAACATCCATATCCATGGTAGAACCCAACCTTCATCCCCAGCATCCATATCCACAGTAGAACTCCATCCTCCAGCCTCATGGTGGGACCCCATCGTGCATCCCCAACCTCCATTGCCAGGGTGGAACCCCAACCTCCAACGCCGTGATTGGTCCCCAACACCTCCATCCCCACGGTGCCCATCTCCCCAAGCTGGTCCCAATCCCTGTGCCAGTGTCCCCAAGGTGGTGCCAGTCCCTTTTCCACCTCCCCAGGGTGGTCCCAATCCGATGCCCATCTCCCTGGAACAGTCCCAGCCCTCTTCTGTGTCCTCAGGGTGGTCCCAGCCCCATGTCCATGTCCGGGGGGTCTCCAACCCTGGTTCCCATCACATGCCCACACCTCCACTCCATCCCCATGTCCCCAGGGTGGTCCCCAGTCACGTTCCCAAGTTCCTGCAGTGGTCCCAGCCATGTCCCCATCTCCTGGGGCAGTCCCCACCCTGTGCTGTGTGCCCAGGATGGTGCCAGCCCCGTGTCCCCTTGTCACTCACCCTCAGTGCACCTGTCCCCGCTCTTGCCCAGGTGGCAGCGGCAGGTGTAGCCCTGCCCATCTGGCCGGTTGACACAGGTGGCATCGGGCCCACAGGCCTCTGTGGGGTGACAGGCCATGAGCACCCACCCGGGAGGGACAGCGGGGTGACATCCCCATGGCAGGGTGGTGCCACCTACCCGGGTGACAGTGCAGGGCCTGCGAGTACTCGCAGTTGCTGCCGGTGAAGCCGTGGGGACAGCGGCACATGTAGGTGCCACTCTCGTCGTCCTGGCACACGCCGCCGTTCTGGGGAGGGGTGACACGGGTGTCAGCCGTGGGTGGCGATGGGTGGGGCACCTCCCACCCCCTCCAACCTCACCTGGCACGGCCGGTCCTGGCAGGTGGGACAGTTGGTGACACCGTGCGCCTGCAGGTCCATGTCCCCAAAGGCCACGTCCTCCCCTTGGATGCGGAGCTGGCGCACGCAGCCTGAGCAGGGACAGGGATGGGCACGACTGCCACGTGATGCCCACCCCCCCTCGCCCTGGTGCCCCCCCAAACCCACCACTCACCCATGAAGCCGCGGCTGAGCCCCGTCTTGGCCACGGCGCCGATGTCGGGGTACCCGCCCAGGTACAGCTCCTCATTCAGATCCAGCCCTTGGAACTTCCCCTGCGGGCACAGGCGGGTGGGCACCACCTCCAGCGCCCTGACCCCCACCCAGTAC